TTTAAACTTTAAGATTATAAAATATATAACATAAAAAATCTAAATCCTAAACTTGGAGATAGAGACTGATTTATAACTTTTTTTTGTAAAACTTTTAAATTTACCTCTCAAATAGGAGGTTTGAAATAAATTTATTTAAAAAAAATATATAAAAATAAATTATTTTTTAAAATTATACATTAAAATAAATTATTTATTATTCAATATATAATATCATCAGTTTATTTGTGATTTAAATATTTTTTAAAAAAATTAACTTTTTTTTTTAACATTTTACGATGGGGCCAGCTCAAATCGTTACCTTAGAGAGGAAGGGAATATAAACTTTACAAGCGTAGCTAGAACCACTTATTCTGAAAACTCAGATTCAAAAAAAAATTAACTTTTAATGATATTATATATTAAATAATAAATAATTTATCTTAATTAATAATTTACAAAATACTTTATTTTTTTCCTTTTTTTTCGAGCGTACCTGTCCTGCCTATCTCAGGTCGGATTTAGGGGCTTTTGCTATTTTTTTTTTTTTTATAACAAAAATCTCAAACCCTCCCTTCCCGTTTAAATTCAACGGCACCGGCGCGGCACCTCTGTTTCTTTGGGCATCTAGATTCTAGACCCGTGCCCTCTCTTTTCTTTCCCAGTTCCCAGTCACCGGGAACACTCGAAGCAGATAGACGGAGATATGGGAGTGAAGAATTTGTGGGATATTCTCGAACCTTGCAAGAAAACGTTGCCTCTTCACCATCTCCAAAACAAGAGGGTCTGCATAGATCTCTCTTGTTGGATGGTTCAACTTCAAAATGTTTACAAATCTCATTGTCCTACCAAGGACAAGCTCTATCTCAAGGGTCTTTTCCACCGTCTCAGGGCTCTCATCGCTTTGAATTGCAATATTATTTTTGTCGCAGGTAACTTCTTCTTCTCTCTTTTTTTTTCACGGAGTCTTTGATTGTTGTAAAATTGGATATTGGTGATTTGTAATGGTAGAAAGATTTCATAATGAAACAGGGGGAACTAAATTTTGTAGGACATGATTAATTAGTGTGAAAACAAGTGATGGATTACTAGAAAGATGAGTACTTGATGGGAAGAAAGTGATGGTTTCTTCTATCTATGTAAAATGATAATGATTGTAAGCAAGTTGTCAGTGTTGGTCGAAACTGGAAGAAGATGAACTTTGTTGGTAGCTTTACTTTGTTAGGTGTACTGATGCTGGGAAAGGGAAAATTATAGTTAGATACAAATCATCTAAAAATATGATTTCAATGGGACCTTGGAATTTATAAATACC